AATCTACCATGGCCTCCTCAGTCTCCGTAAGGCCCTCATAAGAAGCCTCCACAGCACCCTTAAGCGTCTTCTCATCCGTCTTAGCCTCAGACTCGGGATTATCTTCGGTGGTAGCCAGAGGCATATCTGGCTCAATTAGCACATCTGGGATCTCCACTGTCTCGGAAATCATAGACATGTCGGTGCACTTCAGGTGGTCCACATCTCTCCTCAACACAACAATAGCAGCCTTTAGGGCCGTCACCTTCTCAATAGCCCCTTGGCCACACTCGCACACCGCTATCCGAGCCGCAATGGCATCAATGGTAGCATTCAAAGGTGTCACAACATCAATATGGCGGCATGACGGTCAACAGAATTGGGTAGCTGCCCTATCCGTAGTAATGCAACCTGAGTTTGTAGGGGACAGGAGGCATCAATAACAACAGTACAAGATATGGGAGGTAATGGAGTCAGTAGAGGAACTGGGAGTATAAGAAGGAACAATACTAGATGTACCTGAAAACCTACGGGCCGGAGTAGGCAATAGTGCCTCTATTGGTAATGCCTCTATATCCACAACCAAGGAAGTATCCACCGGGACTGCCTTCTTATTCTCGGCCTCTTCTTTCAAGTATTCTTCCTCGATTCTCCAGATATAAGTAGAAGATGTGGGAATCACTTCCACATCCTTCTTCTCATCTCTAGGAACCCGAGCTTGCCTGCACAGCTCAAAGATTAACACTGGAAAGGGAAGGGAAGTTTGGCGCGGATTGGCCCTCATGACCATCTCTTATTCCATAAGCATCCCAGGTTAAGCCTTGTCCTATCAATAATGCAACCCAGGCAGGCTTCCTTGGCATGGTGGAGAATTGACTCATTCTGTGACGGCATAATCATGTTGCTGATGAAGCCAAACCAGTACCTTGCTGTTATGTCCAGGTCGTTCTTCTCAATGGGTGCTCCAATTTCAAGCTACTTGTGAGTACCGTCTGATATTAACGGAGCCAACCACTTCTTCATCTTTTCTAGTGTCTTTGTCTTGATCATATGTTGGCAGTCATCATCAATTCGCATTGAAACACCTAATATGGCATGGATAGGATCACTATCAGATTTCACTCTTCCTCTTATGACGACATCAGAGTCAACCGGCTTGAATTTGGTTGTCGTTTTCTTCCCTTGTGGTACCAGGGAAGTGTATGCATTATAGAAATCTCTAACCCAATTTGGAATGTACGAGCCATGCGGCTTGGTGAAGAGCTGGAATTTGTGCGATCTTAGGCAGCTCATGATCACCGGGTACGTATCTTTCACCCCATCAGTAGAGAGCCTCTTCTTCTCTATAATGGTTCTCAATCCCTCAGTCTTCAGTTTGTTCATAGACCGGGGAGAAGGACCTTGTACTGCTAGTGCTAGGACTATAGTATGTGCTGGAGCTGGAGTAGGAAAAGTAGTCTAAGGACACCTGATCCTAGATGGATCATTTAGCCTCTTTCAACGCAACTCTGCCGTCTGTGCTGCTGCTAGCTCATCTTCAGGCTCAAAATTTATAGCCTAGTGCTCCTGGTGCTCACTCTCACTATCAGAAGTGGAGAGGTGAGTGACATAGATACCGTCACTGTCGGAGCTGGCCTCCAGTGACGCAGGTGGCTTGTCATTTCCCTTTCGTTTCCCACCTATTGTGGGAAGTTTGGTAACCTTAACATTGGATGAAGCTCCATCCTTATTGATCTTTATTCCCTTGGCCCGCTTATGGGGTGGAAAGTCTCTACCGGCTACTTTTGTTCTAGCCATGTCTGCAAAAACATCAACAAGAGTTAGAACTAATTCAAGAAAAATTGTAGAAAAAGATTTGCAGACAGACTCAGCAAACCGATCGGCGAGTCGCCGAATCTCTTTGGCGAGCTAGATCGGGTTCTCCGGAAGGATTGGCTGAAAATTTCCCAGAAAAATTTGCATGTTGGCGATTGGAAGGTCCTTTCGGCGAATTGCTAACAGCAGTCAGCGAGTAAAGACTAGCCCGCCGAATGTTACAGTGCTTTTTGGGATTAGGGGTGCAGAAAAAGGCGATCAAGGAAGACATTCAGCGAGTCACCGAGTGCACTCGGCAAACTCAGACTTCTCACCGAAAGTTACAGAACCAAACTCAAGATTAAGCATGAAATTAAAGGCGATAATGCGGAATTCGGTGAACCACCGAGTAGTTTGTTGAGCTCGACCTTGCTCGCCAAATGGCCTAACTGATATACCATGAGTTTATGGTATTTTTAATACATTTCACCTAAGAGTTATGTTGTTCTAGGGACTTTTTTTATTAGAATTAATGTGTTTGTGTTATATTTGCAGGAAATAGGCTTGGACGAGGTTGAGAGAGACAACAGCTGAAATTCTGCAGAAGGAGTCACCTACGGACCCAGGTCCAATAACGCTCCGTAGGTGAGGGGCATAGATGGAGCATCAGCGAAGTCTTGACCAAGTGTGAAACTACGGAGTCCATTGACAAGGCGTAGGTCGATCCACATACTATCCTGCACGTCCGTCATTTGTATCAGAGCTTTTGAGTTCCAATACCTAGTGAAAAGTTCTAAGTGTGGAGCCACAAAAGGGGACCCACATACCATAGGTCAACCTACGGTCCGTACTGCACACCCGTCGTTTGCATCTGAAAGTTGAAGGTTCCAACCTCTTTGAAAAAATTCCATGTCCTGAGCTACGGAAGGGACCTACGGACCGTAGGTAGACCCACGGTCCGTAAGTCAAACTCGTCGATTGAAGTTGCGTCCAGCACTTTATTTCCCTATTTCATTTCCTTTTTGATTAGGATAATGTTTTCTATAAATAGGGCATGTAAACCTCGTTTTTGGGGGTTAGACATTATTTTTAAATTCTAGTTCTTGGTATTTTCTTGGGAATTAACTTGCAAACTCTAGCAATTTGATTTCCTAATTTTGGTTTATAAAGACTCTTGCTTTGAATTTCAATTAATGATTTTGGGTTTCTTGTACTCGTTACGTAAGTTCATGAATTCTTCTTCTAAAAATATGAATTGTGTTCTTGCTAGCATGGGTAACTAAATACACAACTAGGGCTGTGGGAACCATGAGCGATTAACAAAGTTTGAATAGTAATTAAGTAATTCTTGAATAGTGTTGTTGCATGCATTGATAATTCTTTCGTTTCAAAGTCTTTTCAACGAGTGCACGCATTATAACTCGCCTTGTTGCTACTTGTCGGACCAAGGAGGTAGTTAATAAGAAAAGAATTATCAACATACATTTAGTGTGATACTATCTAATAGTCTAATGTCAATTGGTTCGAGGGTGAAAACTAAGCCATACAGTGATGTGATGTCTAATATGAGGTAAATGTAAGGGTTTGTAAATTATATACACGTAGCCGGACCAAGGTGTGGGGTGAAATTCTCTATTTGGCGTCCAAGCACTTAGGGATACATAACTTACCACTTTGCATCTGATACACTAGGAAAGGATTACTATTACTAGGATTACTACGTTATGAGCTTGTGGGGAACACATACACCCTAGTTTATTTCTCTCATTGATAACAACTAAAGTTCAAATCTTGCTCACTTGCTCTCTAAACAACAATTAGTTATTTGTTATACAACCCCCGCCGCGCCCCCCCTTTACTTACTTGTCTCGAAAATAAGTTGACTAAATGAATATAATCGTAAGTTAAGTTTAAGTCTAAACCATAGTCCTTATGGGGTCGACCCCAACCTACAAGTTGGGTTCTTTATTTGACAACGATCGCTTATACTTCTTTAGGGAGGTGTAATTTGAGCGTGTCAAATTTTGGCGCCGCTGCCGGGGATTAAGGCTTTTAGATTAAGTTTAACTACATTATCGAACTTTAAGTCAATTATTTCCTAATTTTACGTTTTCTTTTCTTTTTGTTTTCTTTAGGTTTCTGCTGTAGTGTATGCCAAGTACACGGAGTCAAGGTGAACCACTGACCCTATACGATCCAGAGTTGAGCAAAACTTTGAGAAAGATGAATAATGAAGGGGTCCATGATCACCCAGTCATACAGGAGCCTGAGGACCAAGTGAATCATGATAATGTTCTTGTTTAGGGTAATAATCTACTTAGTGATGCATTGAGGGTGCAGGCTCCACCTGAACCACAACTGCGTGATAATTACAGGGTCGAATTTAAAATTGTCAAATCTGAAAGACCCATTGTTCTCCCTCCTCTACCACCAGGGCATATATTTGTAGTAATTAGCAGTTTGATGCGGATGCTCACAACGAGGGGTTTGTTTTCTGGTATGGCTTCGAAAGATCCGTATGGGCACACGGCCAAGTTGAGGAGTGTGTGTAAGAGTTGTGTGGGGTGCCCTAAGTTGGATATGATTATCATAGTGTTGAGAGTCTTACCTTTATCATTAACCTGTGATGCTGCTGTATGGTTTTCTTAGCTTTAGTACAACTCGATTCATACATGGGACTAATTGCACAAGGTGCTCATGGACAAGTACATTCCATTGTCAAAGAAGCTGAACCACAAGGAGAAACTCAATAATTTCGTGGCACTATCTTGAGAGTGTGTGAATAATTCGTGGGACAGGTTCACTGCATTCATAATAAGTATTCTGAATCACCGTATCGATGATGAGTCACTGAAGGAGTATATCTACATAGGTCAAGATGACAATGGTAATGTTGTGCTTCATACTATCGCATGAGGATCATATAATGAGTGCACTTTTGAGGAGATCACTGAGAAACTGGAGAAGATTTCCCGAAATAATAAAACATGGAGCACTCGAAAGTCAGACACTGGAAGAAGCACTTTTTAGTACAATATGCACCTAGTCAATATGCCGATGACATTCATGAGGAGATGGCTCAGATGACGACATAACTTGGGTTGGTGTTGAAGCATGTTAGCAGAGGTGCAGAAAAGGTAAATGCGGTGAATTATTTGATTAGGACTTCACCACCACCGGTAGAGGAATGTTACTATGAAGAGGATGCTTACTTGGTGAATGATTAGATGGTAGGTTTCTTAGCCAATGTCCAAGGTTCCAATTCAGATAATTGGCACCAAATTCAAGGAAAGCAATGTCGGAACTATGGTAACTACAATCGAGAGGGTCAATATATCTTGGATGGGAACAATAATCGTGACAACAACTACAACCGGAATAACTATGGCAACAGGAAAGATAGAGTTGAGCTTTATGTCCCTTCACAGAATCGGGAATCTGGCAATAGGAAAGATGGGGGTAGTATTTCACGAATTGAGGATATGATGGAGAAGATAATGAAGAGGTTTGATTCGACTGATGAGAATGTGAAGGAGATGCGAAATGAGTTGTCTGGATTCAGTCAAAATGTTGATGCCCATGCAATGACGATCAAGCAACTTGAGTAGCAGATGAATAAGTTGTCCACTACAGTCAACCCACGTCAGCCTGGCACACTTCCTAGCAGCACCATCTAGAATCAAAAGAATGATGGGCATTGTATGGAAGTCACTTCTCAAGGGGGTAAGAAGACCATTGATCCACCTATGCCGTCTGAGGTTGAAATTGAGGTTCGTAAAGATGATGATGAGATTGAGGTTACTGGAGAGTCCAAGAATGCTATAGAGAAGGAAGTAGAGATAACCTAAAAGGTTGTCCCCATGCCTAGACCTCCACCTCCATTCCCACATAGGTTAGTTAAGACGAATGAAGAAGGGAAATACCAAATGTTTATCGTTATGTTGAAATAGATTTCCATTAATGTTCCATTGATAGAGGCTTTAGAGCAAATGACTGGGTATGCAAAGTTTATGAAAGATTTGGTGACTAAGAATAGGGCCGTGAGTTTTGAAGATGATAATAGGTTGCAACATTGTAGTGCTATTGCTATGAGGTCACTTGTGCAGAAGAAGAAGGATCCTGGCGCCTTCACTATTCCATGTACCATCGGGTTGTTCATTTTGCTAAGATGTTGTGTTATTTGGGTGCTAGCATTAATCTGATGCCATTGTCTATCTACAAGAAGGTTGGTTTAGGGGATCCAAAACTGACTGCGATGAGATTGCTCATGGTCGCTGTGAAGAAGCCCATTGGTGTGCTCTAAGATGTACTTGTGAAAGTGGAGTCGTTTATCTTTTCGGCGGATTTTGTGATACTTGATTGTGAGCTTGATTTTTAGGTTCCCATCATACTTGGGAGGCCATTCCTTGCTACTGGGCGCACATTGGTTGATATGGAAAAAGGGCAGATGAAGTTGCGATTAAATAGTGAAGCGGACACTTTTACATCGGTAGGTCCATGAAGCGGGAAAGCGATCTCAAATCAGTGTCAGTGGTGAATAATATTGTGGAGCGAGGTTCTGATGTGTCTATTGAAGAGAGGTTGGGTGTTGATACACCTGCAGCGGTAATGATGAATTTTGAGGCTGATTGTATTGAAGAATATGATGAATTGGTCACCGCACTTGATAGGTTCGAGTTCCGTTTCAAACCAAAGAAATTGGAGTTAGATATGAAGAATCGCGACTCTCCACCCGCAAAACCTTCTGTTGAAGAGGCTCCGAAATTGGTGCTTAAGGCTCTACTCTCACATTTGAAGTATGTATTTTTGGGGAGAGATAGTACTTTACTGGTCATCATTGTGGCCGATTTGAATGTGGAACAAATTGAGGCTCTGGTTTCTGTGTTGAAGAGATTCAAGCGGGCTATTAGGTGGACTATTGCGGACATTATTGGGATTCCTCCTAGCATTTGTTCTCATAAAATACAACTCATGCCGGATCACAAGCCTAGTATTGAGCACCAAAGACGACGAAATCCGCCTATGCAAGAGGCAGTGAACAAGGAGTTCATCAAGTGGTTTAATGCTAGAGTAATTTATCCCATTGAAGATAGTAGTTGGGTTTGTCATGTTCAGTATGTACCCAAGAAAGGTACGATTACTGTGGTACCTAATGCAAAAAATGAGCATGTTACGATGCGGCTAGTTAATGAAGGGAGAGTATGAATGCACTACCGAAAATTAAATGCTTGGATAGAAAAAGAACATTTCCCTATGCCATTCATGGATAAGATGTTGGACCGACTTGGTGGTAGGGTTGGTATTATTTTCCTGATGGTTATTCAGGCTACAATCAGATTCCCATAGCTCAGGAAGACCAAGAGAAAACGACCTTCACTTGCCTTTATGGGACTTTCGCCTTCAAACGGATGCCATTTGGGTTGTGTAATATTCCAGCGACCTTCCAACGTTACGTGATGTCGATATTCTCTAATATGGTAGAGGACACTATTGAGGCATTTATGGATGACTTCTCTATGGTAGGTGACTCATTTGATGTGTCACGACCCGGGAGCACCCCCTAGTCGTAACCGGCGTACTCGACCTCTCGGAGGTCTAATACAAGCCTCTTAGCATTCATTCATCGCATAACACTAAAAACATAATGAATTTAAAGCTTTCTTTACCAAGAAAACATTTAATTAAAAATAGCAAGCGGAAGACTTTCTAGACTTTATACATGATGTCTCAAA